TCCAATATAGATATTGAAGAAAAATACAGCAGGAAATTCTGCAACTCTATGTATACAAGTACATATTTATGCCCAATATACATGTCATCCATATCTATACTTACTGCCCATCTTGCCCAAATGTGTATTGGATATACATACAGATATATACATGTGCATATATAAAATCGCTGAATTTCCTGCTGTATTTTTTTCATTTTTGTTTGTGGGTACATGACCTAGTGTCCTGTCCATATTTTATTTTTATAAATCTAAATAAACATTCATTGCTAAATGAGCTGTCCAGGTCACAATGGCTGTGCTCAGTCATCTGAGATCATGAGGTTTGCTAAACTGGATACTGTAAAGACAGGCACATGATGCTACAGGGTTTCTGTGCTTCTACAGCTTATGTGGTCAAGTAAGCAAATATTTGTCTGGCAAAATAGTGAGTAGGCTTTCTACTCCTGCTTTTCTCATTCCAAAACAAACCATGTTTTGGTGACTGTGTTGTCATATGTGTGCTTTCAAGGTAGCAGGGTAGTTGTCATGTAGAGACTTTGAAGTTCTTGTGGGATGCGAATGCATGACTCTTCCTGCGGCAATCTGAGGACAATGGAAACAATTTTTTGAGGATAGCTTTTAATTCATTTTCAGTGAAAAGAGAGAGATATGAATACAAGATCATGCCAGTTTCACGATTTTTACAGTTCATTTCCTCTGGCTCATCTCATGTTTAGAAATTTTAATTTAGAGTGACCTTTTAGATTTCCAGCAAGTCCTTCACAAACTTTGGTTTACTTTTCACAAATAAGGATAATTACCATCATGACTTATTGGTATTGCTACGAGTATGACACAGTTCTCCCTGGATGGCTATTTGGATGACCATAAGATGATCAAAGGGTAGATCTGCATCTGATTTTTAAAATGATCACATAAAAAATAGATGTTTCTGACTTTATTTACCTACCTACTGTGCATCTCCCAGATGGCTTGACAGAGACGTTCAGCACTGCATTTGATACTCTGTCTCATGTAAGCCAGCTGTCCAGCTTTGTAACTAATCTCTCTTGACAAGTCATGTGTCACACGCACGCATTGCCCAAGGATCTTCAGTGATTTGTTTGGTAGAACAAATGTTGGTACAAGAGCTGAAGTTCTCTTCCTTGACAGTTATTTAAAAATGCAAATAAGTACAAAGAAGAGCACATCTCCAAGCCTAGCAGCTACCAGCAGAAATCTGCTATGATCAGCTGTAGGGATCAGAGTGTATTTTCTTTTGCATAAGCTCATGTTTACACAAACATCTCTCCTCTTCAGGTGGTGGCTTTTCCCTGGTGCAGCTGGTACAGGCAGAGGCATAGAAAATTAATTCAAAAAGAAGAGTTTTTAAAATAAAAGCACTTTCTCTCCCTTTATATTGGCTGTTTTGTTAGAAGAACTTGAGGAGAGCATTTAAGTTTCTCTGTTCTGTATTAAATAGCAGCAGTTAAAGTTAGGATTTCTTGATTTATTTGCTCTGTTGGTTTCTGCCAGCATGCTATGATTTTTAGTGGTTTTATAAATATACCCATAGCCTTTATTATAGGAAACCTTTTAAAAAATATTAGTAGAATTATATGGAAAAAAACCCAGAAGAAAAGCCTATGAAGTAACCAGTTTTATTTTTGTGGAAAGAAAAAGCTGAACATTGTCCAAACTGTAGGAATCTAAGTTACCAGAGAGCACAATAGTCCAATTTTAGAGTACTTCAATAAATACAGCATTTTCATGTTCATATCTCTCCATTTTACTTATAATGAGGAATGCATGCTGATAGAGACAACAGCAGGCAAGGGAAGTCAGCCAGGCTAGAATCTGTCTAGTGCCTGCTGATAAATTGCTTTGGGGGCAATTTCAGGTCTTTTTGCTAATGACAACTTTCTTTCTTTAAAATTCACCAGCTGGCTGTGGCAGGTACAGTTGGGATTGATGTTTGAGATGTATGGCAGTTTGTTCATGTGAGATGTACTTTTTACATCCCATTTTGTTACATTCGGTAGATTTTTTGAAACAGCCCAGTGAAAAGTGTAAGAGAATATTTTATCAGGATAGGCAGATTTCTGCTGGTATTGTTTGTTAAAATGCAGATATGGTATAAGGTAGCATGCCACAGTCTCATAGCACTTGACTGCTACTATTTCTCAGTCCTCACAAGCTGGGTATATAGAAATGATTCTGATCACTGTCACGTAGTCGTGCAGAAGCCTGGTATTGTCTCACAAATGGAATGTGGTCTGAATGACAGCATGAGGGTTTGTATTCAACAGAAACATTTCAAATGTGCTGACAGAAATGACAAAACTCTTCAGACCTTCCATCCCATCTTTTTTCCTTTTCATAGAGCAAAACAGTAAAATTGCAAGTAAACATGTCAGAAAGTGTAGAAACTGAGTTTCAAATTAATATTAATGGGAAAGAGATCCGGGTTCTTCACCAATAAAGGAAGAATTTCTAGTACCCTATTTCCTGTAGTGTGTACAGGTTTTCCAAAGCAAGTGGTGAATTTTTCATAACTTAGAGTGTCTAGATTAAGCCTCGGTGAGGGAATGAATGCCTGCTGAGGGATGATGCAGTGAGAGATGAGATGGAGGGAATTCTTTCCAATTCTGGCACTAGATGGTGGTTTTTGTGTACCTCTATAATCACAAATATTTGTAGTGAGCGCATTACTACTCTTAACCATGACTACTTAGAGATGCTTTAAATATTTAATCAATTTGAGGTTCTATCATTTATGAACATAATTGAGAAATTATTATAAATTAATAGCTTTTGGTGTCCCTGATGGGAAAATAGATGTATTTGCAGAGAAGATGGCTTTTCTGGAGTGCAAGGCTGCACTCCAAGTGATTATTCAACCATAGAGTGG